TGCAGAACCAGGGATTGAACTCAGGCCCTTGTGCTTGCCAGGCAAGTGCTTATTCTACTGAGCTATCTCCCTGGCCCTCAACGCTGTTCTAGGAGCCTGATTTAAGGGTGCTGTAGAATTGAGTTGGAATTAGGAAAAGAGAAATTTCATAAGTTAGAAGAAACATTTTCAGAATATTCATCCAGTGGACACTTAATGAGTGCTTGATATTTACAAGGAAGAATGAATGTATTACAATTGAAAGCCTGTTGTATGTTAGTTCTTCTCTGTTAGTGAATCTTTCCAAAAAAAACTAACTCTTTTTATTGATAAGGAAACTCTTCTCAGAAGTTAAGTAATCACCTGATGAATAATAAATGGCAAAACTGGGAATCTACATCTTTCCAGATCTTCTTTGTGCTAAGCTACAGCTGAGATTGTCCAACTCTACGTAAATATCTGGTGCAACCAAAAGATGTATAAGGGAATTGTTTTCACTGAATGTTTCCGTGAAATTCAATTGAGGAATGCTAAGTCAGATGGTTTCAGTCATAAATCTGTTATAGTATTTATGAGAGTCTTTGTTTTTTCCCTTGTGGTAGTACAGCTTGAAGCCAGAAGCTTACAAGTAGGCAGATTCTTTACTATTGAGCCACACCCCAGGTTGATATAGGCGCTCTAAATAATACAGGGAAATATTATAAGCACAAGCCTGCTATGTGTCTCATACACTGAGTTTATGTTTCCCCAAAATAGAAGAATGAGTCCTGAGGAACAGAGGAGGTTAAGAGTAGAAATCTCATTGAAGGAGAGAAAGACATCTCCTGATAGGAGGAGTCTACCTACTTCAAGGTTGCCAAGAGCCTACTTTTCTTTTCCTTTTTTTTTTTTTTTTTTGTTTTGGTGGAACTAGGAATTGATCTCAGGCCCTTATGCTTGCCAGGCATATTCTACTGAGCTATCTATCTCCCTGGCCCAAAGAGTCTGCTTTTCAAAGAGTTTTATAGAGGGGCTGGGGAGACGGTCAGTACTGAGTTCAATCCCCGGGTCCGCCAAAAAAAACAGTTTTCTAGAGATAAATCATGAGGTGGGTACAATGTGGGACACAAATACAAGCAACAAATAAGATTGTAAGTATAGCCACTTAGGTAATGTTGATCCAGTGAGAAGAGTCCTGTTGCAAGTGTACAGGGAAAGAACCTTTTTTGGAAGAGATGAGTCAGAAGGCTCTGGTCTCCCACCCGGGTGGCTGATACCTATTCAGAATATCAAATATAGCATAGTGTTTATCCCTCAGGGAGGTATGTAGACCTGGTCAGTCCATCTTTATCTTGAGGCTTGGACTTCAACAAATGCGCCTCTAGCCACAATTGCAGTGTGTTGTTACCTTTTGCCCTGACTCCTTCGAGGGCCTATCCCTGTCTGACTGCCTATAATATTTCTACCTAATTTAGTTGTCTAAATAAGGGTAACTTTTAAAAATTTTATTTTGAGCTGGGCATGGTGGTACATGCCTCTAATTCCAGGACGTAGCTGGCTGAAGCAGGAAGATTACCATGAATGTGAGTCCAGTCTGGGCTACATAAATGAGTTCAAGGCCAGTCTGCACTACATAGTGAGACCATGTCTCAAAAAACCCAAACCCCACAATTTTTTTTTTTTTTTTTTAAATTTTGAAACAGTGTCTTCCTAAATTACCTAGGCTGGCTTTGAACTTTCAATCTCCCTGCCTCAGCCTCTCAAATAGCTGGGGATTACAGGCATATTAATGCTGTTCCCAGTTTAATCACAATGTATTATGTAATTTTTAAATTTTGTTGTCAACACTGGCAATTGAAGCTATGACCTTTGCATTGAACTATCTGGTACTTTTTTAAAAATTTGTTTATTTATTTATTTAGGTGCCTGGAGTCTCACTAGATTGCACATGCTCCAATTTGCAATCTTTCTGCCTCAGCCTCCCAGAGTACTGGAATTACAGACATATGCCACCATGTCTGGCTTAGGCATCTCTCTTTTAATTTTTTTAAAAAAAATTTCACAGTTCTTAAGGTGATGTCTATGTGAATGTTGGGATAAAATTGTACCCAACCCCTATAGGGCTGGTTGTCCTTGAACAAACTGGTAGCATAGCACATAGCTCAGCAGCTCTTCTCCCAGCAGGCTCAGCAGTGGTAGGACCCTGTGATTGGACAGCCGAGAATCCAGAGGTCATCCTACTCGCATTCTCTTGGTGGCAGTGTCTGTCAAGCATGATAAAGGAGTACAAACATAGCAGTGGGTATTGGGATTCTGCTCAGCCTTGCCTTTGCCAAAGAAATGCTGAGGGGAGATTGGTATTGGGAAGGGAGAATCACGTTGGAGTAGAAGTCAGAAATTTCCTGCTCTGTACTTGACTGTGCTGCTTCCTAACTTTGTGACTTTGGGGAAATAACTTAATGTCTCTGAGCTTCAAATTCATCGCTTATGTTATGAGGAGAACAAGTTTCAAGGCCAGTACCACCTCTGATCTGAAGATGGGAAATTCATTTTACCCAAGGCCTAAATTCAGTTGAGATAATCACTGAATTTTCCCCCCTGAGCCATTTGAGTAATTATTCTTGGGACACCAGGCAGACTTGTGTGATCATCTATGGCAGGTGCCATCCTGTTAATTTCAACTCTGATTGCACCCTAGGAGACACAGTGATGGAAACATCTGGTGCTGAAATGTAGGCAGGAATGCCTCTTCCTAACTTAACAGTTGAGTGCCTCTATTCTGGAGTACATTAACTTTTCCTTTCGGGAGTGGCCAAATTAGTCTGTTATTACCTCTAAAGATCGTAGTGTAACATTAGAGCTTTAGGATTGAAAAGTAAGATTGTCTTAATTTATAGCAGCAAGGTGATTTGCACTCTAACTTCCAGATGGTACTGTTAGGTTTGTTAAGATAATTATGCTTAACTGTGTTGTTATACAATATGAGATTTCTTGCCCCTTTTCTAGGATCCTGGAGCAAAATCCATTTTGAGTACCTTTAGTTAATATAGAAATAAGGGTTTTGCTCTTAATTAAAAATTGAAAAATCTTCATTCACAGGACTGTTTTCACACAGAATAAATTGCTTTGTGAACTTAGGTAAAGACTTTGTAGCACTGGTCTTTCATTTGGAAAGTTACAGGTTTGGACAGCTAATCTCTAAAGTCCTTCTTGGAATCCTCCCTGCAGCTCAACCTTGCTTTAAACTATATTTTTTGGAATTGGCTGATCCATAATCCAGGGTAAAATAGTTGTTCTAAACTATTACAAATCAAAAAAAGCTCTATTTTGATTTGTAACTTTTTTATGCTATGTCTCAGAGAGTTCAGCTGTTCTATAGGAATATTTCCCACTAAAATTGAGGAAAATGAAAGTTTGTATTTATTTCCATCCAACACTGAAATGAAGGGTGGTATTTGGTAAATAGGAGGCACTAAAGTAGGAGTCAAGATACCTACCTTGTGTCTGCGTTGTACTCTTTCCACCAGGCATTAATTTTGTTTATGCTCCAGAGTCTTGGAGTGTCAGTTATTAAAAGCTATACCTTATTAAATGGAAATTATGTGCCAAATAGAAGTGTCAGACATTTTATGTGTGTCATTTGTTTTCTGCATCAGCAAAGTGAGAATAAATGGGAGCACACCGTGGAAGACTAGGCACGTTCAATATCTCACAGATAGGAAATGGCAGAGCTGAGGTTAGAAGCCGTATCTCTCACCCTTAAGCCTGTATTCTTTCTCCAGCTAGACTATTCTGCCATATCTGTATTATAGGGACCTACTATATATACTTCCTAGGATTGTTGCCAAGGGCAAGTAGTATACCAGATGTCATACTTGCTTTTGACCGTTAGAATTGTATCATTAAAGGAAACCCATGAACAATTCAGGAGTAGTTTTAAGACTCCATTCAAATCCCTGCTGTGTTACTGGTTTTGGAGGTTGGATAAGTTATTTAATCTCTCCATGCATCCCTTTTGTCATCTGTAGAATAGAAATAATAGTACCAATTTCATACAGTGTCTTTAGAACTTTGAGTAGTGAACATTCAGTATAGCATGGATTCTCTTACTCAGGCCCCTTTTTAGTTCTGGTGGAGTTAAAATTGCTTAAAACAACTAAACATACTGAATGAAATGAGATTTTTGTGTATAAGACTGTATCAAATATTTTATAAATCAATGATAAATACAATGTATAGTGACATTTATTCTAATCTTCAGGTGTGGGGAGCTATTTGACAATTGGAAGGGAGGGAGAGCCTGGAATAATAATTTATCTCACAAGAGTTCTGGGCCTTTTATCTCTTAACATTTGTCCAAAGCCTCGAACTTCTCCATGTTGGATTAATTCTGCAAAAGACTTGGGGACTGTTGGGTGTGGTGGTACACCTCTGTATACCCGGCCTTGGGGAGGCTGAGGCGGCATGATTGCTACAAGTTTGAGGCCAGCCTGGCTTACATAGTGAGTTCAAGGCTCACGTGAACTACATAACAAAACCTTGTCTAAAAAACGTAAAAACAAACAAAACAAAAGACTCAGAGACAATTCATTTTCTCTCTGATTACATCTTTTCAGATTCTACCAGATGCCTGTGTGAACTTTTTTTCCCCAAGATGCAGATTTGGATTGAAATACAAACTATATGGTCTGGTTTGGAGTTAAGAGAAGCAAATGCTCTGAAGCTCCCATAGTCTGTCTCAGACTATTAAGATTCTCTGTATGAGCTTGGTGGCCTCAGGCTCAGCTAATGTAAAGTGTGACTGTACTAACTGGGTTTTGCTGTTTCTTTTATTCATAAAAATCCATTTGTGGTATTTGGGTATTTCTTGGGTACCATCATCCGTGTGAAAGTACCAATCTTAGCAGTATTTTTAATGTGTACACATATACCTATCAGTCTCAATTTCAAAAAGAACAGAACTGTTTGACAAAACATCACTTTTAGGCAGATGGTGGGAAATCTATAGCAAGTAGAAATTCAACAAGGCAAGGTTAAATGTGGTGGAAGAAAGATTTTCAATTTTGTAACATTGACTTTTTTTTTTAAAATCTTTATAGGTTGCTATGGTGACAGACTATGGAGCCTTTATCAAAATCCCAGGCTGTCGAAAGCAAGGTGGGAGCCTATAACTTGAAATTCAGCTTTCCTATTTCATTGTCTGTGCTATCACTATCACGTCCTAAATTTAAGCTCTGCTTTTTACAGATCATACTTTTTTTCATTGTATTTGTGTGTGTGTGTGTGTGTGTGTGTGTGTGTGTAAATGTGAATGCATATAATGTCATATTAAAATATGAATACTTTTATCAGGTCTGTGTGAGTGTGCACATCACATGCTAAGAGGACATGCTCTCCCACTGAGCCCACTCAGCAGGCCTTAACTCAGAAGAAGAATGCTCTCCAACTTGGGGACTCGGCTTGGGTATAGCTAATTTGCTTACTTTGGGAACCAGCTCTACCCTGTGTATCATATGTGACCCTAGGCAAGTCATGTTTGTAGAATTTGGAGATGATGGGCTTCTCTGAGGCTGACATTAAAAGTTTACTGTTGCAGAACATGCACTAGAAATAGTACATATGTGTCTGCATGGTGTGTGTATGCGTATGTGTATATATATACATACATATATATATATGTATATAAAAATTTTTTTTGTCATCTTAAGCCCACCCTGGGGGCAGGGCTGGCAGGGTATGTGGTGGGGATCAAACCACAGTCCCTGTGCTTGTCTAAGCTATCTCGCCAGTATATACATACATATATATATTATATAAAATATACACTGTATATATTTAGTGTATATTTTATGAAGTCTGTGTTTCATTGTGTGATTTTTCTCACACATGTACACATACATGTTTTTATATGTGTGCCTTCATGATCTTCTGTGTATTCCCTTTTGTCTTTCCCTGATTCTCTTCCTATTGACTAATAGTTCCCTTCTACTTTCATGTCAGTCTTTTTTTAGATTCTTTGTTTTTAACAGTTGATGTGTTTCTGTATTATTCAACTGGCTTTAAATTCCGTGGCTTAAACATTCCTATTGCTTTAGCCTCCTCAGTAGCTGGGACAACAAGTGTGTACCGTTGTGCCCAGCTTCTAATACATGTGTTATACATGCACTGCTTCACACTTTCTTTATAAATAGGCATTTATTGAACATTTTTTGAGACTCCTCATATCTGTACTCTTATTTATTAAAACTAGGAAATAAGTCCAGGGCAGTTTAGCTGGGGAGTGGAACAAGCACTCTGGGTTAAAGAATTTGTATTTGTGTGTTTTTAGTTTTTGAGACAGGGTCTTTGTAATTCAGGATGCCTTGAACTCATTATGTAGCCCAGACTGGCCTCAAACTTGCAGTGATCCTTCCGCATCAGTCTCTCTTGTCCTGGGATTGTAGGTATGTGCTACCACACCTAATTTAGGATTTATTTAAAAATTTATCATAAAATGTAACCTAATAGTACTACAAGAAATTAGATGTACTGGTACACACCTGTCATCCTAACACTGTAGAAGTTTAAGGCAGTAGGATAAAAAGTTTAAGTCCCACCTAGACGATTTAGTGAAACCCTGTCTCAAAACTTTAAGAAAAAGGGTTGTGGATATAATTCCATTTAAAGGCCCTGGGTTCAGTCCCTAGTTTTGAGGTGAACAAAAGTACTTGAAGAAAATCTAGAAGAATATTTTACTACATAAAAGTCAGAAATGTTTAAAAATAATTGTAAGCAAAGTTAAATTGGGAGAAAAATTTACAATATGTAAGCTAAAGTGCTAGCAAAAGGAAAGGAGTTGGGTGTGGTGAAGAGCCGTTATGATCCTGGCACTCAGGGAGGCTGCTGCAGAAAAATCATGAATTAGAATCCAGTCTGGGAAATTTAGCAAGATCCTGTGTCAAAAAGAGTGGGGTTGGTTAGGTAGGGTGAGGATGTAGCTCATTGTGAAGGATTCACTATGACTAGGTTCAAGTCATAGTACTGGAGAGAAAAAAGGAAGTAGGACGGAAAAGGGACCAAAAACATGATGAGAAGACAGCTTGCAGGAGAACAAAAATTTGGTCAATATATTGAAAAACAACACACCAATTAAAAAGTAACTTAGGAGCTCAGTGGTATAGTGCCGCCCTGGCACACTTGAAGACTTAAGTTCAAGTACCACAGCCAAAAGGAAAGGAAAGGAAAAGAAAGGAAAGGAAAAAAGTAAAAGGCATAGAGTTGCATAGTTTTGAGTGTATTCACAGTGTTTTGTAACTATCACCACATGAGCAGGCACTCCAAATTCTACCCCTTGGCCTTCGGCAACTGTCAGTCTACTTCATCTCTAGATGTTTGCCTGATCTGCTAAATGGGTTCATATAGTACTGTATGTTGTCTTTTATGACTATCATCTTTCACTTAGGCTGTTTTTCAAAGTTCATCCATTTTGTAGTGTGTACTTCTCTGTTTATTGTCATTCTAAATCAGTTTATTGCAGTTCCATCAGTTAATGGATATTTGAGTTGTTCCTACTTATTTTGGTATTGTCAATAATGATTTGTATACATGTTTTTGGGTGGATATGTGCTTCATTTCTCTTGAGCATATACCTAGGAGTGGAATTCAGAGCCATATGCTAGTCTTTGGAAGAACTGCTGAACTATCTTTCCAAACAGCATAATTTCACATTTTGATCAGCGGGGTATGACGATTCTGCCTTCTGTATGTCTTTGCCACACTAATTATATCTGTCTTTTTGAGTATCACCATCCTACTGAATTGACATATCTCATTGTGGTTTTTAGTTTACATTTCTAATGTTCTGTAATGCTGGGTCTGTTTATTTATTTATTTATTTAGTTTGTTTATTTTTCTTTGTACAGGGGATCAAACTTCAAATCTTTTCCCCTTTTTAAAATTGGATGTCTTTATTTCTTTTGTTCTATTCTTGACTTATAAACTAGCCTCTATCCAATCTGTGATTTGCAACTCAATTTTTATGTAACTTCCTTGGAGTGAAGTAATGCTGTAAATGGAGAAAGGATTAGTCTTTGACAGAGATTGTTAAGGAGTATGTGAAGGAAGCGTTAAGGTAAAGGATCTTTGTGACAATGGACATGTGTGTGTGTGTGTGTGTGTGTGTGTGTGTGTTGCTGAGGATTAAACCCAGAGCCTTCACACTGAGCAACATCCCCAGCTGTTTTTTAGTTTTGAGACAAGGTCTCATTAAATTGCTCACCTCGTGTTTGAACTTGCTGTCATCCTACCTTAGCCTCCAGAGACCTGGATTACAAACCCAAAGCACCATGCCCAGCCTGTCTTGTATCTTGACTGTTGTGGCAGACTGTTGAGTTCACACATATAATAAAGTAGCATACACACACACACGCACACACACACAAATACAGGTAAAACTAGGGATATCTGTATAGGAATCTATGCATTGTATCTGACATAGTTTTTCCTTTATCAACTTAATTATCCAATTTTGTGACTTTCAAACATCAGCTGGCTGTCACATAATTTACTTCTGATAGTAACTACCTGTTGTTAGTGTCACATTCCAAGTATTAAAGGGTTTAGTCCCACACAACTGCCCCTTATCTCAGATGCTAATTCCAGGTATTGAGTCACCAGGTTATCCATGCTTCTGTCTGACTTTTCTACAACACACTCTCCTGGGCTTAGTAATTTGCTAGAACAATAGTAAAATCCAGAAAATGCTATGCTTACCATTACCCATGATTTATTATAAGGGATACATACTGTTAAATGAGATACATGGGGCATGACACTCCAGCTTCCTGTGGAGCTGGGGCATAGTACCCTTCTGATGCTTGGGTGTGGTTACCAATTCTCTGAACCTGATCATTTAGGGGTTTTTATGGAAACTGCTATGTAGGCATAGTTGCTTAAATCATAGGCCATTGGTTATTGAACTCAATCTCCATCTCTAGCTCTTCCTCCTTAGAACTCAGAGGATGCGGCTGAGAGTTCTATCCCTCTAATTGTATTTATTTTTCTGGTTTCCAGCCCCCAACCTGAAGTTGTCTAGGCATCCACCAATCACTATACCATTGTCATAAAACTCCTATTATGGTCAAAAGGGAGTTAGGAATAATAAATGACATCCCTATTACTTAGGAAATTCCTAAGGTTTCAGAAGCTCTGTGTCAATAACCAGGGACTTAGATCAAATATCTGTTTCTCATGAGTGCCAATATCCTCTTCATAGGATATATTCTAGTATGCTATAATTTTACAAAATGTTATTATTGGAGAAAACTGGGTAAAGAGTACATAGACTCACTGTATTGTTTTCAGTGCATATGAATCTATGGTTATATCCAATGCTTAAAAACAATAATAGGTTCACAATTTATTTTAAAAGATTGCTATTAATACCAAGTGTTAGAAATGGGCACTTTTGTCTTTGGTACAAGGACTTGAACTCAGGACCTTGCACTTTCCAGGAAAGCGTGGAAATGGGTACTTTAATTCATCTTTAGGAGTGTAAATTGTCCCAGACTTTGGTAGTTACTGTTGGCTTTTTATTTATTTATTTTTGAGACAGGATTTCATTATGTAGTGTACGCTGACCTTGAACTTGCCTGTGTAGCCCAGGCTGGCCTCAGACTCATGGTGAATTTGTCTCACCGTGTGTCTCAGCCACTCGAGTGCTAGGATTACAAGTGTGCACCACTTAGACTGGCATCTATTGATACTTATTTATTTACTTACTTACTTTTTGAGACAAGGTCTTATGCATTTCAAGTTGACCTGGCTTCAGATTCACCCAGGCTAGCTTCAAATTCACCTTGATTCTCCTGCCTCAGTGTTGGGATTATGGACAAGCACCACTACACCTGGCCTATTGACTTTTTGTTTTTTGTTTTTATTTTTTAATGTATTTAGTATAGGGTCTCCAGGGTCTCATTACACAGATTAGACTCAGTGATTCTCCCCAAGCACTGGGATTACAGGCCCATGCTACCAAGCCCAGTCTTAGTGGCCCTCTAAGCATGCCCCAGGGTCGGGGCTGGCAAGGCACTCTGGGGATTGAACCCCGGTCCCTGCGTCTGCCTAAGCGGGCGCTTTAATCTGCTGAGCTATCTGGCCAGCCCTCTATTGACGTTTTA